AATTACTGGATTAGGGGAATGAATGAAGAAACCTGCAGTCAGAAATTACAGCGAGTTCTGTAATTGAGCTGCTGCCATTTGTCAGCTTGCATGAAGGCAGAATAGCCAAAAGGAACTGACAAGTTCAAAAGGCTGGAGAAACACCAGTTTGCACCACCACTCCACCCCACCCACCTGTGCTGTCACTGTTCCCCAGGGCAGATCCCATAGACTCCCCTGCAGTTGTGCTACCCAGTCTGCAGCAAGTGAACAAACCAGGGTCAATCAGAGCAATTACTTGCGTGGAAATTAGCAGTGGGAGAGCATGTCTAGCTGTTTAACAAAATGAAGTAATTTTAGAAACATTCAGAGGAGTCACCCAGTTCCTGCTACTCCTTCCCCCACGCACACACTCCATCCTCACAGAGCCTGTGGGAATTGCTCTGTGTGGACCACCAAGAGCAGTGCAGACAGTGCTGTTTGGGAGACAAAAACACTGGGGATGATTCCTGGTGATCCATCTTTGTGTGCACACATGGCTGAGTCTGTGGCTCCCACCTCCTCTTCCTCCTAAGTCAAGCACCAGTCCAGCCAGAAATGCTGGGAGGCTGAGGGGACACTGGGAAAAACAGACCTAGACTCAAAGGGTTTAAAGGAATTTGGAGCCACAGGTTTGAGCAGGCACTTGTCCCTCCTGACTTAGGGACTGCTCCTTCAGCTACTCTAATCCTTCGTTTAACTCAGCTTGTTGCAAATCAGGCTCTCCAACACCTAGGGCAGACATCAGTAGTAGCAATCACACTGTCCCCCTGCCAGTCACTCTAACTAGTGCCTCTATTGAAGCAGTTGAGAGAAAAAGCAATTCAGAAGAGCAGCTTCTTCTGGGCACTGAGAAACTTCCCTTTCACAAGATTCTTTCCTTCCTCCCACTGGTTGGTCAAGGAATCTGAGCTGCAAACCTCAGCTGGATGACAGAAACAACCTCAGGCTCGCTCTCAATCTTCCCTTGCCAAGGACAGTGGAGCTACTGGGTTCTCAGCATCAGAGTTTAAAGGACCAACCACTACTCTATTTCTTTGGAGAAGTACACCCCTGGGTTTTCCACAACTTTGGAGGAGGCCAGACTGGTGCTGTCACACTCCCCCACATTTCTTATTTCTAAACATGAATCTCTGCCTCTGCTGCATGTGACAGTCCCACTCACTGCATGTGATGGGTCCCCAAGGCCCAGGGCAGCACTGGCAATGAAAAGCTGTACCCAGGCAGCACTGCTAACATTCCAGCCCTTGGTGAGTGCTTGAGGTGTTGATGCTTTCCTTAAAGCCTTGGCTATGGGAGATGAGTGGTTTATATAAGAACTGCATCTACATTTATTTATTTTAAGTGTGCAGCTAGCCCCAGAGGCTGGAACAGTGGCTGTGCAGAACAGCTTGAGAACATGAACTGAAAGTGCTCTTGAGGCTGATAAAACAGAAGGAAAAATGAAAAAAAAAAATCTTCCTTCAAGCCTCATCATATTTATGCTGTTTACACACATCAAGAGTACATCTTTAACAAGTGTTCAAGTCAAGGCACAACTGGAATATTTCCATATAAAGCACAGTGTACTAAGCTACAATTTCTTTCCTAGTTTCAAGTTGCATTATTATGAAAAAATTACGGTGTAGAACAATGAGGACCCTTCACTCCCTTGAGCCACAGCCTGAAGCATATAGCTGGTTACAGCTCTTTACACAAAAGTTTGCCCAGCATTGTCACACATACCTGTGAAATTCACTTCACCCATGATATTTTGAAGTAAAGTGCTCCCCAACAATATAAACACCATGCATAGGAATATCACCACCACTCCTTGGTCCCAAAATTTACAGTACAGACAGGGACACCAAACCATCACAGCATCAAAAGGTCTCACATGAGACTCACTGACTTCTCTCAAGCCTCTGCTCAAGGGAAGGTTCTCCTTCCTTGTTTGGAGAGAGAATTCAAGGGGCAATTTCCCATACACACTCCCCCAGCACCTGAAAGACCACCAGTGCTGTGAAGCACCACTCCAGCTGACTCTAAAGGTATGGCAGTTAATCTTCCCCTCACTAAGGAGTTCTGCACATGACCTATATAAAGGCTCTGCATCACTCCAGAAAGACCAGGACTGCTTCATGCCACAACCTCTTCCTTCTGCACATGCTTGGGCATAGCCAAGCAGGCTTGATATGCTCTGTGCTACCTACCAGGTGTGTGGGTACCAGCTTCTCTACTTTTGTAGCCTGCTCTGAGCTCTCCCCTGCAGTGCCAAGTGCATCCTGAATACAGGCTGGCTGTGTCCAGATGAGCTCCAGCCCTCCCAGTGAAGGGGCTCCTGCAGCTGGGTGAGAAGAAACCAGGGCAGCACATCCCTGCTCAAGAGATGGACTCATCATTAAGATCAACAAACCAGTCAAGAACAGGATCCATAGAAGTCTAAAGTACCAAAAATCTGTCAACCATTTTGTCCCAGTAATTAAGAGTCTTTGCCCTGAAGTTACCTAAAAGGTTTTCAATGAAATCTTCATTTTCACAGTGATCTTTTCTTTGTCTTTGTCCCTCCATAGAGACACAAACTGTGCAATTAAAATTAAATCAGGAATAAACCAGCCAGATGTATCCTAGAGCCATGATGATGGGAACACCTATTTCATTCTGACACTTGCCTTGTTCTGAGGTCAGGCTCTATACAGGAAAGCAAAAACAACAACAAAAAAGAGGCTCTGACATTTTACAGTAGATTTTCTAAATGTCACCCTGCACACCTGCAAAGTAGACAGATTTGCTCCTGTTTCTCTACCAACTCTCTTCTTCATTGGTAGATAACTCAGAACTCAGCTGGATCCAAGGGCCAGTGGAGCAGCTCAGGCACTGAACCATACACCCCTTCCCAGCCACAGCTTCATTTCCCTGTGCTATTGCCTGTGGGGGTTCATCCTATAGCAGATGTCACAGTCATGCAAAATGCCTGCTCTCTTCTTTAGATAGATACGTTCTAAGCACTCTTAATTCCAGGTGTGGAAAATCTTTCCCCAGTTTGAGAGCTTGAACTGGGAAGAGCAACCATTAGTGGGCTGCATGTTAAAGGACACCAGAGTCCTTGGAATCAGGATCTCCTTGCCCCATCCACAGGTGAGAAGGAAAAAGCTGAAAAGAGGAAAAGTGAATGCTAACCAATGAACTACATGTTGCAAACGCTCCTCATCCTGCTCCTTCCTGCCCAGCAAAGCCAGATTCCGAATTAGAAGCAAACTCTTGCTTGTCAACACTCCTCTTGGGAGAGCTCCCTCCCCGTGCTGGAAACAGCCTTCCCTGGCTTCCCTGGCCAAGCTCAGCCTCCAGGTTTCTGCATTCGCCATATGACACACTGAGTTAGCCCAGGGTTTAATATATTCCCTCATGCTGCTGTCCTTTAAAAGCATTGGCATTTCCTACACACAGATTCCATATTGACTTTACAAGTACCAAGACACCACGGTGAAATTTAAACTAAATATAGAGGCGATATTTTTAAATAACTCTCAGCTCCAACTCGCCAAGCTGATTTTATTTGAACGGAAAAAGCAGACTCCAGCTTTAAGCTTCCATTGTTATTAATGATTACAACACATTCCTCTGCCGTATCAGATTTAGCACCTCATTAATGTATGTGGTATTTTTCTTGCACGGCACAGCTGTAGTTAAAGTTGACTTAGTGTTTCCATTATAAGCCCATGTTTTCAAAGGTTTATCACTCAGACACATGAGATTTAGTCTGAAATGAAAATTGCAGAGAGTGTCAGCTGGGAAACAATTTCTTGTCCTTCAAAATCTGGAAGCAACAAACACCCAAAAAAAAAAAAAAAAAAAAAAAAAAAAAAAAAAAAAGCAAGCCACTCTGTTTATTAATAATTCACATTTTAAAAAGCATTGCAAATACATGTTTACATGATAGCCTGTGACAGCTCCATAGAATGTCAACACCCACACGCTCCTGGGAGATGTGTCATCTTAAAAACTGAAATAAAAGCCACATTTTTACACCACTTGATGGGAGGCGAAGAGAAGGGAAAAAAGACTTAAAAATAATATCGATGAAGGAAACTTATTAAAAAAACCCCATAGTCTTTGTTTAGAAACACCGAAGTTAGGACTTTCAGTCGAGAGGGGAGTGGGTGGGAATCATTTCAAGTACCATTTGTACTTGTACCTTTTCGGTGCCTGTCCCTGGCTCACTAATGAATTTAGCAGGAATTAGTCCCACTGAGTTCCTACCACAGATGGCATCCAAGCCTTCAACTGTCCACGAGTCCTGGAGTCTCAAAGTACGACCAGATCATGTTCTTTGCAACAGCCACGCTGAGGCACAAGGCAAAATGAACAACAAAATAACTTTGTATGAGCTCTGTGTCTTGGGATTGTGTTCTTCTGCCATTAGATTTAAGACTGAACCATTGAGAAGCAGACCTTTCAATTGGGAGACTTCTGAAGCCTCTTCTTGGCTGACTGTCTCAGTGATTATACACTTATGACATGCAAATTTACAAACAAATACAGGAAGAAATTACCAAATTCGCAGTTGCCAGCATTACCAGAACGGATGCATTTTTGATGGCTGAGAAAAATTAAAAGTGTTCTTTTTCTAACATAGTAAAATTCCCAGCTGTTTTTACTCCAGGACTTATGGGCTTACCCAAGACATGATGCTTCCAGAACACAACAAACACATGGAGTTTGTAATAGCTACTACAAGGGAACCAAGACAGGCATGTCCTTGGTGAGCAGAAAGGCACAGTTGTTACTCTGAAATACTCACATTTTGCTCCTCACTGGATAAACAAAGCACTCCCACAGCAGACAGAGCAGGGAGTGTGCTGCTTTCCCCAGTGCTGACTTTCACTTTTCAAGACGTTACTCCAGACAACAAAGATAATGGGAAGATGGTAGAAATTGCATATCCTTATGCTCAAATTTGGGAAGTTATTACCCAAAACCCTACTGTTTTCCACACAAACAACCTGAGAAGCAGCCAAGTGGGTCTGTGTCTGTCCTCCCAGCAATCAAAGCCTCCAGAAGACTCTGTACATTAAAGGCAGGGCAATGCTGTGACACTCACCAAGGCCTTCATGAGCTCTGTGTTTTTCTTTGCAGTGTTTTCTTCACCCTTGTTGTTCCAGGCATGGGAGCCCACCTCTCCCTTCACAGCAGAGCTTCTTGTTGATGAACTGAAAGAGGACTGCAGGGAGGATGATGAAGGCTCCAACTGCAGACAAGAAACCAGCAGTGTCAGGAATAGCTAAGAGCAGAAAGTCAAAAACAAAATCATTGGCACATCCAGGAAAAGCTGCCTAGGGAATGATGTGGTTTAAACACAGCTGTATCCATGGCTCTGCTTCCCAATCTTCTCTGCATAAGAGATAGAACTGAAATCCAGCAAAATTTGGAGTAAATACAATATCCATTTAACATATTGATCTGGTCTACTAAGGATGTACATCACACAGACTTGGTTCCAATTAAGGTCTTCATTTCTGTCACAGCATGAATTCCAACACAGGAAAGACACCTACTGATTTTAGTAAACTTTTGTAGGACTGCAGAATTCGACCAGCCCCAAGAGAGACACCTACAGCAAGGATCCAGCCAAGAAAGGGTAGCTGGCCATTAAGATGCCCAGCACCTCCTTGGCAATTTATGTATTTTCTTTAAAACAATCAGATTACACATAATGGCACTCTCTAACTTCATTACATTTATTAAGAACCAGGTTAATGTATAGCCTATGATCCTCATTCAACTGCTACTTTACCCTTAAGTAAGAAGTATATTACTGTACTACATAATTATCATTATTTTCTGGGGGGAAAAAAAAAAATCAGCCTCCAGCTCAGGTAATTCAGTTCAGCTAATGGAGTGTCAGGTTTGGCCACAGGTAATGAGCACAGTGGCTGTGCACTAGCTGATGTCCCAGCCCTGTACATCAACTATGTCAAACTGTAAAGAAACAGTCTGATTTCAATTTATCATGTTCTGCCTGTACCACTGGGTCTGCAACAAACCACAGGCGCCAGCAAAAAGCTTTTAAAGCCATTTCACCTCTCTCACACATATCAAAATGCCAAAACAAGGGACAAACACTACATACATCACTTGCTGTGGGTGGCAAGGGCGCATGTGTCAAAAACTTTCAGTGTCATCTGCAAAAAAAATTGGCTTGTTATTCTGGTAATTACTTCACCAGGAAGGGGTGAAGTTCAGCTGCTCAATTCAAGTCAAAGACCCCATAAAAATGAAACATCAGCAGCATCAGTGGCACACCAGGGATGCCTGTGATTACAAAGCTGCAGCTCACAGATGAGATGAGCAGGATGGAAGGATGTAAACAGAGCCAGCCCTGCCTCTGGAACATCCAATAGGGAATTTATAAGACTTGACTCAGCAAAAGACTTGGGCTAGAAGAGCTACACTGTCCCCATTTACAGCCTTGATAGTGCAACCTATGACTGCTACCACGGGGATTTATAGAACTTAAATACAAGCCAACATGCCTCAAGAGGAAACAACAATCACCAATGTATAGCAGCAGCCCACATGCAAAACAAACAAGTGTTTGGGGCTGATCCCAGAGGAATATGTGTTACACAAACTCTAGAGGTGGCTCTGACCTTCCTCATCCCAGCCTGAGGAAGGAACAGAAATATTCACTGAATCACAGCAGCTTAAATGACAGCAAGGTGAAGTCTACACTTTCATTGCTCTATTCTGCATGGACACAGAAAATTCGCAGAATGGTTTGGGTTGGAAGGCACTTTAAAGACCATCTAGTTCCAATCCTCCTGACTTAGACAGGGACACCTTCCCCTAGGATGCTCAGAGCCCACTCCATCCTGTCCTTGAGCCAGCCAGCACTGCAATTTGCTGCCATAACTTCCCTAGATAATTTGGCTGGCACATCTCAGACCCATTTTCCTCTCACACCTCAACCCAGGGAGCAGGGCTGGGGATGTGAGGGTGGCTGAGTGAGACATCGACTCTGGCTATTTTCAGCTGCTGAAGTCACCATTAAATGGCTGCTGGAGCCAAGGACAAATCAAAGGAGATGAGTATAAATCAAAGTAGCCATAACCCCAGAATATGCATGAAAGCCTGGCTGCATCCCATCACTGACTTACCCTGTTCTTGAGCACAGAGTAAGCAGAAGAAGGGAAAATGCTCTACCTTATACATAAAACATATGGGATCACTACATCTCAGCACACAAGAGGATATGTACAGCAAGGACACCACTGTTGCCATTTATTTTATTTTATAAAAAACTCAGTGAGCCCAAGGAGACACAAGGGTTTCTCCTTCTCAGACAGGGCACAAGCAAGCCACCAGTATTTTTAAATATAAATTATTCAACACTTGCTCTGAAGCACTACACAACCCCTAGCTGGAGAAAATCCTCAAAGTGTCCCTTTTCCCCAACAGACCTTCAAGTACCTTACAAAATCCCAGAAGAAAAAGCAGGACTTTGACTAGACTGGCATCTTGAAGAAAAGCTTGGAGACAAATGATCACCTGCTATATATTTGTTCTAAAACTCAGACTGGTACAACAGTGTTATTGCCTATCTAATTCTTGTTTCATAGTCAGATACAGAGGAACAAGAGAGAAGTAGCTTGGTGACGCAGGACTTGGGACAGCTCCTCCAGCTTCCTCTACTCCTTGGGGCAAAAATATAAAAGGCACCACATATCAGAGCTCACCAACAGTCCAGCATCAACTCCCAGAAGGAGCTTTTCACAGCCAAGAACTAAAATCTGTCCATACAGAGAAAGAGTTTTCAGGAGCCCAGGCAAGAAGGGATGGCACAGGCTCTTCCTGCATGGAAAAGAACATCAGCCAGATAGCAACAGGACCTCAGATCCCTCACCTCCCTCCACTGCAGGCACCAAGCAACTCTCCTATCTCTCCTAAAGGTGGCGAGGAGGTGGCTGGAACTTCTGCAGCACAAGGCAATCCAGCTCATGCATCCTGTCCCATGGCTTTAAGCACAAGTTTCCTCTTTGCTCAACCACAATATTTGTGCCAGATACCAGAAGTTTGTGCCACAATGTCTGTGAGGGAGGGCTGAGTTTGCACCTGAGCAGTGCACCTGGCTCCAGCTGGAAGCTCAAATCCCTCTGGAGAGGTGCATGCTGGCAATTTGTTTCTCCATCATCAAGAGGAAAACATGCTGCGCCTGCACACAGTCCTGATCACACCTCCCAGCTCCCCTCCCAACCCTCAGCTGGAGGGCTTTCTCTGCGGATTTGAAACTCCAAAGTAAGGCTGTGCCTGGGAAATGGCTGTAAAACTGATTTGGAGCAGGGCTCTGCTCTGGCTTGTGGTGGCTGTCTGTGCCTGAGAGGTGCTGAGGAGCAAAAGCAGCAGAAAAGCACACACATCCCTTGTGCTGCAGCATTGCTGGAATGTGTCACACAAGTGAAATGTCCATCCTCACACCAACGGATGACAGACTGTGCCTGGAGAGAGGAAATGTGCCATAGTCAGGCAACCAACTCTTGGTCCAAACCCTGGGAGGTGCAGTCCCATGCTTTGGGACATAAACATTCAGCCAGGATCCTCCCTCCATTTACCCATTTTTAAGCCAAGAAATTAACGCCACAGACACCTTTGTGTTGTGCCACAGTGGGTCCACTCATTCTGCTGCTCTGGTCGAGAGCACAAGGCAAGAAATGGGCTTTGTGCTCCTGACAGGTTGAGGCCACACAGCTGCACACACTCCTTGCCCACTGCTCAAGAATAAACCAGAGGTGCAGCATGAAGAGGTGGAAAAGAGATCAGAAATGGAGGTGAGGTCAGCAGAAGAAATCTGAGAGAGCACATAGGGAGCACAAGGCACTACAATGCTATTCCTGCTCCAGCCTCTCCTCAAAGCCACATTCACAATACAAGATGACTTCAGGGAGAGTCTGTCCAGAAGAACAAGAGAAAAGTGTTGGCCACTGTGTTACATGCATTGAATCCAGCTGGTTTTGGGCTTGTAGCTGGTTTCACAGCAATCCTGCTACCAGACCTGGTGGACCAGGGCAATGAACACAAGAAGCTAGTAGAAGTAGATTCACTTGGAGAGTCTGCAACTAGTAAGATCTTAATCCATTCTGTTGTGCAAGGGTTAAATTCTGCATAAAATAATATTCCAGGCAATAGTTCTTTAATTTCATTTGATACCAAACTTCCTGAAAAAGGAATGTTTACTGGTACTTTTTAATTATGAAAAAAAAAAAGAAACCATAAATTGTCTGTTTTGCTGTCTGTGCTAATTACATTTCATTATATATTTGGAGTAAGCTATGATTTTCCTGCTGGTTCCCATGACATTTTTCATTATCAGCTACTAATTGTCTAGCATGCACACTGCATTGTGAACCAAGTAGGCTGGTGCGTGGGCAGAAGTTCCAGTGAAAGCTGCAAGGCTGTACAAGTGTACATTGTTATTATTACTATTATGATGTATTAGAGAGTTTCCACCTACCTGCATATCTCCATTTCCTCATCCCTATCAGCAGTGTCACAGTGAGTCCATCCTTGTGCTTGGCAAGGCTCAGCAAACACTGAAGGGAAGTTATGTGGGATGGAATGATGGCAGCAGCCCCACTGCAAGGAAAAGTTCCCTGCTGGGTGCAATGGAAACACCAAGCAGCTTTCTCAGTCACTTCCTCTACTCGGTGCCCAAAGCACGTGGGTATCAGAATTTTGTCACTTTGCCCACTCACAAGCTGAGGCCAAGGTTATGAAGGAAAGCAGTGCCATATGTGGATTCCTAAAGGAACAGGATAACTAATGGGGTCTTTCTGAGACAGCAGGACAGAAGAAAAAGGTACAGGGATTTCAGAAGCCATGGTTAATACTGTATGCATTATGGAAAAATCTCCAACAAATCCTCATCTATGCATACTCAGAAAGTGCCACAAGTGGTGAAGCAACTTCTTGCATGCAGCATTTCAGAAACTCAGACTGAGGGAAGCTGTAGGTGCCAATTCTTCACACAGCAAACTGCAAGAACATGACCACTGCTCGTCCTTATCAGCCTTGGACAGGTGGCAATTCTATTCATGTGCACCACACACACAATACACAAACACTTCAGAAATAAATGTGTGTTTTCACAGGATTGCAGCTCTCTCCTGATATTTATTTCAAAGGATACAAAGCCAGACCCTTTCCAACAGCCCTGTGAGAGAACAGTTGTATAATTCCCCCTCCTCTCCTCAA